TTTTTTTTTTTTTTTTTTTTTTTTTTTTTTTTTGTAGATCAACTAACTGTGCCCGATGAACTGAATAAACATCCAGCATCTGGTCAATTATTCTACAACATTTTAGCAAATCAACAGCAAACATTATCACTACTGGAACTTCAGATGCTTTTTGGTCTTGCTGGTAATCAGTCTTGAACTTGAAAAAAAAAAAACTGATGTTGAAATAGTTTAAAAGAAATAAAATTAGAACAAACTTTTTTTCAAAAAAATAAATAGTAATTGACTATATTTTTTAGCTCGTAAACATAACTATAGACGTGCACGAAAAGCTGGAACTGATCGAAAACCACGTCAGGCATATTCATCACGACAACTGGAAAGACTAGAAACTGAATTTAAGGTTGCTTTACAAAAAAGAAATAAACTAATTTTAGCAGTCAGTTAGAAAAAAAAAAAAGATTTACAGGATTTATTAATTTTTTTCATCAAATCTATTATTTGAAAAGGTTGCGAATCAAAGTTATAAGTACCAATTTTTTAGAATGACAAATATTTGAGTGTTGGTAAACGTGGAGAATTGGCAAAATGTTTAAATCTTACCGAAACGCAAATTAAAACTTGGTTTCAGAATCGACGGTTTGTTAAATTTCATTCTGTTAAGAAATACTAATGTTTAGATGTAAAAATATTTTTTAACAAAAAAACAATTTTATATATTAATTATAAATATAACTTTTTTTTCAGTAGTTTATAGGACAAAAAAGAAGCTGTATTCACTGACTGATTTGGTCACAAAAAATTCTGTATATACAAATAGAAACTTGACAGAAATTTTTGATTCTGTTTTTGTTTTAGTCTTTTGCTTATGAAAAATTCTCTTCTTACCTTTTTTAACTCTCTTGTTTTTTTTTCTACTGTTTCAGTAACAGATTATCAACTTTAAAAATTTGAGCTGTAACAGCATCAATTAATTTGATTATAACTATAGTGCTTTTTTGATTTTCTTGTATTTAAACAAAAATTATTCGTAAAACCAAATTGTTTCTCTCCCTTTTTTTCTCCTACTTTCTTTTAATCATTTACGTTGATGGAAAAAATATTGAAATAGCAATGGCTTGCTGCTGCTGTGTTGCTTGCTACTGGTGATGATTCTGGTGACGTTACATCAGAAATAGTTTTCTATAATGACACTGTATCAGAATTTATTGACTTTTTAAGTACAAAGAAAAGAAAAACAAAAATTTGTAACAAAAAAAAAAGAAGGGGTAGATCAGAAGTCAAGTAATTTTGCTGAAAAAAGAACAAAAGATTCTATAAATAAAGTATTTTAACATGTGATTCTATTGTGCTTTGAAGTATCATTGATATCAGTATATCCGATGCCAATCTT